GTCACGCGCCGAAAAACGCTTCTAAAAGTTTGAGTCCTTAACCACATACCTTCATTTTTATACCAAAGGTAGAGTATGGTTCTAGCTTATACACGTTTTGAGGAAAGCTCAAATTACTGTGTCAAAAATGTCATAGCGTCACGCTTGGACAAGCTCCCAAGTAGAACAGGGAGACTCAAAAAGCGTCTTTTTTTTAGCACGTCCATGATAAATTATATCTAAAGTATATCCAAGATTACATTGATCTAATTCATGTTTCATATGTGTGACTAACTGTTTTAATTGTTCATCATTTTCTTCACATAATCTCAATTCTATTATCCATATACGTTCATTATCATTATCGAATAGAACATTATTAATGGAAAATACAGCACCCATTGATATCAATATTTCACTTTCATTCATTGTACTTAATTTGGTTATATCAGCAAACGATTTAGATTTTATACGTTTATCTAATATTATTTCAAATAGTACTGGTACTTTATCTGTATTACCACAAACACTTTCGGCAAATATTTTAGCTAATTCACGATCTAAACTTGTGGCTACAAACCAATGCATTGATATTAATGAACCAATATTTTCTTCAATCAATTTTAAATCAGACATATACATGCCTTGACCACGATAAACTTTAAATAGATAAGCATGTTCACCATCATCATCATCAGTAATATATATCTGATATTGTTTAGAATGATATTCTTCTAATTGTTTATGTAAATTCGAAATAAAATAACGATATTTAATTATATTTTCCATTCTACCTGATCTTAACGCTTCATTAATTAAAGTATAAACAAATGTATCGCGTGACCACCATCGTATCGATTGTTCATCTGTATATGTTCGTTCAAATTCATCAATTGTTTTCAAATAAACTGTATTATCATGATATTTTAAACGGCATTCATTTATCATGTCTCTTTTAGCTATATCACTATAGTATTTATTATTATCTATCAATGCTTTAATAAATAATTGAAACCACATAAAATCAGCTGATTCATTATCTAAATTATGAATAGTATTTTTATTTGATAATATACTAAATTGTTCATTATTCAAAGGTTGTTGGGCACGCTGTATATGTCGAATTAATTTATCAATTGTACCATAAACGCCACGAATCAATAAACAATTTTTGATAAATTCATTATATTCACAATATATATTTTTATAACTAAATATATAAACTGAATGAAATTGTGGTAATTGATAAACAAATGATAGCACAGCAACGCCGTGTGAATCTGATAAAATTAGAAAAATACTTTTATTGTTTTTGACTGTTGTTATATAATCAATACATTCATCTGAATCGTAATACATTTTGACATTATAAAATATTGAACGTAATTCTTCTTGTTCATTATTCAAATTGGTTTCAGTTGTACAACGTAACCATATAATCTGATGTCCTTCCATATATCTATAGAAAAAAACAAAAATCAACAAAACTGAGAACTGATTTTATCAAAGTATAAAAACCTTAAAACTGCACGAAAAATGAAGGTGTGTATATATATGAAATGAATAATATCACATAAAACGTCTTGATACTTATTATTAAGCAAGAAAAAGACAAAGATGATTCTTTTGACTATAAATTATTATTGTAGTCACACTGTTATCGGAGAATACTGTATTATTATTTACATACATTTCTTTCTAATGATCAGTCATGCGTAATATGAAAAACATCACATATTTGAGCTCCTGCAGCTTACGTTCTAGTCGTATAATTTTTGTATTATATTCGCTGATTTGTACGAAATACTGTCGATTTATAGAAGTAAAATCTTTATAGAATTTGAAATAACACGTAAGAAATAGTTTGGGAAGCCCAAAATGTATCACAGTTGCAGTATTGCTGCTGTTCCAAATTTCGTCCTATAAGATTGTAGCAAACACAAATTATGATATTTCAGATGGAAAGAACGAGCGAAGGAATGAATCTAAAAGTACCAACAACCTATTGATATAATACATGAAGAAGACTTCCTCTTTTCCTACTTTCCTCCTTTTCTAGAATGCTAGAAAGGTTTCAGGCTGGTATTCGAAAAAGTAACACGCATATTTCCTAATTATCTGATTCCACTTTTAAGTTTTAGAGAATTTTTCTATGTGTCATTTTCAGTTCGCGGCAAATACAAATTCTGCACCATGCCAACAAATCAATAAATAATTGATGTATACAGAAAGCTATTTCAAAGAGTGCTTATAGTGATATAATGCTTTTGCTTCTATTTACGTTTTCTGTTAGGTAAATATGATCATTTTTTCTGAAGTAAACCATTTGAAGTAAAGAAGAACTATAAACATCTGCTGTAACTGTAATTATTTACATAACTTTTTAATGGCTGAAAATACAACAATAAGTTTCGATGATAGTAAGTCAAAAAAAGATTTTTTTTTCGTTTTGTCATATGCTTAACCTGTGTTTTAGAGGATAATGATTTCGATTTGAATGGATTCTTGAAATTGTTTAATGCACTGTTGAGTGTTAACATCTCTGATTTTACTTCTTACATAGTCGATGACACTGCTACTGTTTCAAACACTAGTGAAATTCATATTATATGGTTATGCGATACGCATGAAAATGCAATCAATCAAAATGATAATAATCCACAATTCCATTGTGATTTTAATTGTATTAAAATTTATAATGATCCTGATGAATGTGTAGATTATATAACAA